CTCGATCTTATATATATTCAAAATGACCTCTTTCATTTCTGCACTCAGGTGTCTTTTTTTAAAGCGTTTCCTAGGTGGACTACAGGAGTTTACAACTTCATCGGCAGTATCTGTACTACTGGGCATTTTGCGCAAGTAGTTGATAACAATAACAATCAATAACAAGGTATAACAATAACAACGACAAACTCAACAACTTAATAAGATAACAAACGAAAACGTCCAAAGGAATATCAAATTGCAACGATGCACACGACATACGTAACACGTCTGAACCTGAATGTGACTCTGCCTTGATACGACTGCTCTGCCGCTCGGCATAGGCATTTAATTGCGAATTGACCAATGAGGGCTCCTGTTTTACGTCGAGACGGCGGCGTTAGCGTGAAAATCACCCGAACCTTTTGTTTACATCCGGTCTATCTCTTATCTGAATATACTGTAGGCATCGTAACCGATCGTAAAGGATGTCAAAAACCAAAATCCGCCAACGTTGATTCTTTACTGCGGCTGAAATATTAATTTTTAGAGCGTTAGTGAATTAAAAAAAAAGCAGTATAAAAACCGGAATGTCCAACTGATAAGGCTAAAAAGTTTTTCACTTGTTACTTACAGTAAGATAAATACATTCACCAACTTTTATTAAAATAAAACCATTTAAACTGGGTGTTCGGATTTATATGTCACTTAGTATACATAGAAGTGGATTTTTGAGAAGGATATACTGAAAGCAGTGAAGAAAATAATAGTTATCATATATTCTGGTAAATGCGCTTACTTTTACCAATGGTGGTTGTAAAAGTGATGATATGCCCAAACAGGAAGAAAAGTGATAGTGACTGGAATTACAACGTTACTGTCATATTTTAGAAAAATGTCCGAGCTTAATAGTTAACGGTAATTCTGCAGTGGGAATAGATAACAAACTTTCCAAACATATTACTACTTAATATTTATCTCTCATATATTGGATGTAAGACAAAGCTAGCTTTTCTGCAGAGCTCCGTTTGTTTTTTAAGCTCTATCTAGGATGATATATATATAATTAAAGGAGAAGAGCGTCTGTAATACAATCCACCGACTGTGCTTCTATCAGCTCGTACGATTCAAAGTCACTTAAATAATTCGTAATCTGAACAAAGGACAGCTGGTCCCGACACGTCCATCATCGCTAAAATATACAACAGCTCCAAACTCGGCGATACACTCTGTATAATTGAACAGGGCAGCGCTGCAGGCTGCAGCAGGGCTTTCACCCCCAAACGCTAAAACGTCGAGACACCCACGCCCTGACAGTTGAGGGCAAAATAATAGTCTAGACATCACCGGATTGCCTCCAGATTATAGTTAATAGTATGAATATTGATATTCTTCAGCTCAAAAGCTTGCGTTCGTATAAGGAAAGAATGCTTAGTGGTAGCGTTGGCTTTTTTCAATCTTTTTTTTTCACTAATATCTTGACAAGAACGATACCCATGTCAAAAATAAATGTAGGTAAATTTATTACTTTAGAAATTTGAAATTAAATTTTTAAAGCAATAGTTTTTGAAAGTCTCACACTAAATGCAGGAAAAAACGTTGTACACTTCGTGACAAAGAGAATAAAACACACAGGTAAAACCGTGCCTAAATTTCAAAGTGGAAACATTGACGGTATAGGTAGAATCCGAACAAGTTGAGATTTGAAGACAAAGAATTCTCTTATCCCAATATGCATTTTTAGAATTAGACATAGTCACAGGCGATGTTTTCCAAGTTGTAAATCAAAATCCATGTGTGGCTGCATGTGTTAGATATGGTGATAAGCATTTCAATCAGTAGCCATGGAATGACAGATATATGAATCTTAGACGATACAGCTTGTTTGAAAAAAATGACATTGTCACGACGGAGATGAGGAGTGTAAACGAAGACGTGACCTTTCTGCAATGAGAGGGACTACCAGATTCCGCAAGAGCAAGACAAAACAAGCTAGTGTTTTAAAACAATAACAAATTACTTATTAAAAACTACTTTTACGTTTGCTTTTATTACCCTTAAGCGTGTGGAGGCTACAGATGAGTTGTACGCAACAAAGAGGCAACCATAATGTATAAAGAAAATCTAAGGATGCGAACAGTCTTGAGTTATTCTCTGCCAGTGTGTCTAGGTTGTGTCAAGAAGATCAACTCTTCCATTCCAGGTATTTAACATGTATGTCTGTATTTCTAGTTGTTACTATGCTTCCTTTCCTTAGTATTTTCTAATAAATCTTAGGAGGTGCCAACATCTCACTCTCTATACGTCTGAAGAGATTGATAGAAGCTTCTTGAGGTACCAGATCCGAGGCTATTCATAGTCCATGTACGGCCCGGCATAACAAAGATGTAGCACTATATCCACGAAGTTTTACAACCACATCTGCTTCCCGTTTTTCAGCAGGACAATGCACGACCTCATGTCGCACGTGCTAGTTTAGAATTTTTGGAAGCATCCCGAGCAAATCTGCTTCGTTGGCCTCCTCGACATCCAGAGGTATCCCCCATCGAGCATGCATGGGACTTAATAGGAAGAAGGTTGCAAAATTTACCGCAGCCTCCACAAACATTGGTGGCTCTGCGAAACCGAATTCAGATGGCTATTCAATACATCAAGAAGACATCAATCACTTAATCCAATGTGTAGCGAACAGAGGAGCTTCAACACATTAATAACATTAAGGTAGGGTATCTCAGCTATCTTGCGAACTTTCCAGTTAAAATCTCAATTACTTTCTATTTATCAGTAGACCTAAAACTTGTAAAAGTATAGTCAAAATTACAGAACTCCTCGTTCGTGTGGCATTTTCTATGTCATTTAGTATATCTGAAAGACAAGCTACCTGTAATGTGGCTGAGTACAACAAAAATGCACACCATCCGAGTGTCAGATCCCAGAACTGCCTGATTTGAATAATTTCTAGCATAAGTAATAAAAACTATTATCGTTTTGATTATTTGCATGCAAAACTGCCTAGTAGTTCCGTTATTCGGCCGAACACTGTCACCATATTCTTTATTCATATTCAACCGACTCGACCGTAAGTCGAATTTCTGGCTATCAAAATCGAACATACCTGCACGGCGCGTATAATAGGAGCTATTCACAATGAAATGCAGTTGATATATTATTAATTCCCGGTATAGTTCGTGCAATGTATTGCTGCCGTTGCGTCGGTATCAAACGGCAGGTGATCGATACATTTTCAATTTGTCGCTAGGTGCACGCCACACAAACGTCGAACACATCAGCATTTCCTTGCTGACTACAAACATACCTCGATAGCGTTGCTTCACCCCAATGTATGCCCTTTCCGATTACAATGAGATTGGCAATGGGTCATCTGGAAAATATGTACGTGAGTCTGTCGTCTCCTCTATGGTTGCTGAGCGTTTTATAGTAACCAATGTTCCAACCTACAAATAAATTACTATTAAAAACAAATGTTACTAGAAATTAGCCATAGGACCTGATACTTGAATGGGGTGCTTTGTTACATTCAGCTGCCTCCTGCGGGTACTCTATGTTTATTTGTTTTGTTCGAGACAATTGTAACTTACAAATATACATTATTATTATTTTTATTCCACTTGAATGCCCAGTTTTATACTACTGGGTATGTAGAGTGCAGGTTGTTTGAACAGTTCGCTGTACTCGTCTGCATTTAAGAATTTCCTGATTATACGGCATATGTTGAGCATTGCTGCACTTTTGAACTTTTATATAAATGTTCTCATTTAGTCCGATCAGTCGTAGATTTTTTCCTCAGATTCTGGGGTACCAAACCTGTGTTAGATATTATTATAGGGACTACCATTACGCTTTTCGGTTGCTACGTTCGGCTTACTTCATACTTCAGGTCAGCATATTTACGCATTTTCTCCTGGTTGACGATCAATAAGATTCCTGTATTAGGGACTGCTATTATCTATTATGAATGTTTACTTTGTCTTTTCATTGTGTAATATTATGTTTGATCTATTATTGCGTATAGTTCTATCCGTGAGTACTGAGCGATCATCGAAATTTTCATTTTTCATCACAGATTCTGGTGTGTATTTGTTTGTAGTAGGGTGTGTTATCTTTATGAAGTAATCCATTTCGAATAGCTAGACTTTGGTGAACGATGTTAGCTATTTGACTATATCTGTTGTATGTTTTCTGTTTTCATAAGACACATTCGACATTTATCATTCTCTGTTGTTGGATCGTTTATGATACATTTCTTCTGGTTTTTGGTGTTTATGACTTAATCTTAGATGGCTATCAAGTAACCAGTTGTTTCTAGAAAAAGCTCTCCTACGGTGAGCCATGAGTTCGACGCTATCATGTCGACATTTGGGATTTGTAGTATTTGAGCGTGTCTTATATGTAGCGCCTTGGTCTGCCATATCTTGAGCTTCTCGACTACCGTTCTGATGTATTCATGGGGCTGTGTCTGTGTGCCGTATAAATTGAGAATACTATGCACCAATACAGCATTGCATATACTGCTGTGTAATCCCGAGTTAGATTTTCGATTATGGAAGTATTATCTTAACGATGTTATCTGAGAATTATGTAAGTTCTCTATGCTCGTGATCCAAAGCCCTCCCATTCTTTTTGGTAGCACGAACCTTCCTGCACAGGAATTCTCGTGATGCATCTGGCGTTTCGTCATCCCGGTCCTAATTATTCTCTCCAATTGTTGCAACTCTGTTTTTAACCATTTTATAACTCCGAAGAAGTATGCTATCTACAGTATGACATAGATGTTAATAGATTTGACCATAGTATTTGTATTTAGATTTGTTTTAAGGACGAATCTAAGCCTATCGGTAAACTGATGCGTGAGCTGCTTTTTATGATCTACTCTACGAGATTGCTGAGCTCCGAGGTACTTGAAAGTGTCGGTGTTGCCCATTGCTTGTATTGGATCTCCTAGTTTGCTGTTTATCTTTTTTGTACTCTTCCTCTTTTGATGCTGAGTGTTCGGTATTTGCTTAGTCCATTTTTATATCGGTTGTGATGCGTTCTGTTATTTGTAGCATGTGTTTCAACTGTGTAGGCGCTAAAGCGTACGTTTTCAAATCATCCATGTAGAGTAGATGCGATATTATGTGCTGGTCACTGTCAGCAACTTTAAATCGGTAACCGGACCTCTTAAGAGCATTAAACAAAGGACTTTGTTTGATGCTCATTGGTTCAGCAGATAGACATTTTTGTCCTGAGTTATTATTATTATCATTATCTGTTTTTCATAAAGTTATGTTAGTTTAAAATAATGTGGCATTCAAAGTCTCCTTTTGATAACTCAGTCATACAGGAACCTAAGCATTCCAAATTTACGCGTGGGGGGCTGTTCATGTTTCGTGGCAGATTCTTTTATCTGATCCGTGACCTTTATGACATCAATGTCTCCGTTGGCTATAAACCGTAGAATTTAATTCTGCGAACGTGTTTTTTCATTGCTTATGATACTTTTTTAAATTACAATTTGGATATTTCACATTAAAACTGTGACTGTAATAAAATAAGCGTTATGGGAAACGGATTTCGGCCAACTTTTTGAAAATTAGTATGTTTTAGATCTTAATCCTTAAGATATATATTCATTTACGTTAGTGACTCCATCCCTACTGACCAGATAATTGACAACACATTTCTAGCATACGTACAGAGTGACTCAAGCTGCATGGATGGAGTACTACTCCGATATTCAAACTCTGAACCTTCTTCAGGACGATCATACATTATCCTGATGTCAGAAATTTTGAAAATATTCAGGATCATAAAAGATATCTCACTACTGAGCTAGATGTCAAAGCTGGTTTTACCTAGATATCCATATTTTTATTATACAGGGTGTAACCAAAGATGAGTGATTTATTTTAACTGCTTGTAACTCGTCAAAAGGATATGATATACCAAAAATCACGTATATAGAAGCTGCACAATAAAAGAGATAGTAAAGGATTAAAAACTTTTAGACAGATTACACAGATTTTTTTGAATTCTCCTTCACTACACCTATCGTATATTTAAATGTGGCAAACTTTTTGTGTAGTCTTTGGTTTGATCAGTAGTATCACTCTTTTAATAGTGCGTATACTTTTATTTGTCTGATTATTTTGTGCGAAAACAATGAACTAGTGGACATAATACTAACATAGGGGGAGTGTCAACAAAGTGCAGCCGCAGCATGCAGCTTGTATGCGGAGAGGTTTCTCTTTAAGAAATCATACGGCCCCAAGGATGTTTGTAAATTTAGTTATTGGGCTTCGTAACACACGATATTCAAAAAAACGAGAAATCAGGAGGTCACCCTTGAAGACCTGCTCAGCCTGACTTGTTACAAATTCAGGAAGATCTTTTAGAAATTTTCGAAGGCGACCCAACAATGAGTACTAGAGTCATGGCAGCTCAAGTTGAAGCTTTTTATACTAAAATGTGGAAGACAATACGACAATAACAATATTATCCTTATTAGTATCAACGGGTACAAGTGTAACAACTTGAATATCATCAGGAACATCTAAATAATGAGTTTTCGATTAGATGGATAGGGCGCAATGGACCATTTCTTGGCCTGCTCGCTCCTTGGATTTAACGGTTTGCGATTTTTTTCTGTGGGGTTATTTGAAGGAGTTAGTGTATCATGATGGAGTTGTAAATACTCTGGAAGAACTTCAACAGCACTTGTGATTTAATTCGTGGACAGCAGGATTTTGCGTTAATCAAACAAATGGAGACGATTATGAACAGTTATTGTAAAAACGGTATCCACTTAACTTGATAATAATTTTTTGTAAATAATTCTAAGTAATTTAAGCAACTCTCTTATTAGGTAACTTTTATATAGGTGATTCTTGACTTCTTTTGACAAGTTCTATAAGCTATAAAAATAAATGACTTAATGCTAACCCTGTATATTTGGGTAGCCCTAAATAATTCTGTATTATATGTTAAGCCTTTTTGGAATATATTTAATCTAACCGAAAATTATGTATGTAAGTTATGTTGCCGAGATGGCCGTTCGGGTTTTTAAAAAACTTTATTTTTACTTTTACAAGACACTACAATATACTTGATATATTTTATAATGGATAAATGTACAATACGACGAACAAACGAGTAATCTTATGGAAAGCATCAAGAACCTCTATTTATCATCTCGGCTTGGATGCTTTCCTCAGCATTTTCTTCTTCCACGTGCATCCTTTTCTGCATCATAACTTGTATATGGAAAACATTTTGACAGAAGCAGTAAATCTTAAATAAGACAATTGTTCTCGCTGAGACAAAGAAAGAAACGACAGTGAACTGAAAACCTAGACGAATGTATCAGGATATAAAGCGGAGTTGACAAAGATAAAAAAGTAGTGGTTGAGCTGATTAAGATACGATATGAGAAAAGCATTACTAAAGTAAATAACGTGCTCGGAAATAATTTCGCCATGCAACGAACGAGGGAACCAGATAACGTGAATCCAGTTCCAAATCTGTTAGTGTTTCCAACTTAACTTGACCAACTAATTTCGTAATGTACGTATATTCCATGCATTTCGATAAATCCTGTATAAAATTTCCTACACGTATTAAACCCCAACACACGTTTGGGCAGCGTTAGTTTGCCACCACTCAAAAGCCTGGATTCATTAATTCATGTAGTTTTAACATCATACAGCGAGGTACAACTAGGCGAAACTCAAACTACGTGAACACCATACAGCTGAAGCTCCCGCTTATGTTTAACAATCGGAAAATTTTCATTAAAGACCTATGTATGTATACAGCAGCTGAAATCATGAATTGTCCCTGTTTAGGTTTGGTTTGATTGATGAACCTTGTATTTGTGTCGCGTATATAGACATTTTGAGCCTTTGTTGATTACACTGTCAGAACAGCACAGTACAAAAAGCTGCACCTAAAAGGCAATATTGCCAACGTAGAACCTAAAATGACAAGTCACAATATACAGAAAATAAGCAACTGAATCGGAACTGAATCGATGTCTTCGGGAAACAAATTATTCAGACCACCGGTAATAGTTTGGACACTGATGAACGTTCATTCTTGCTTCAAAACCTCCAAGTTCCTGCATTGATTGTCAAGCATCATTAAAATGATCATCCCGGGTTGATTTTCGTGAAGCAATGAACAATAAAAACTATAATTTTTTCTTTCCTACTCTGTACCATTGCTTCGTTAACTCTGAGAAGGGCTTATTTTTAGTGTATAATCAGTCGATTATTGCGTATATCATATGTGAAGAAGTTCTTCACAAAGTTTCTGAGCAATCATGCGTTCATTCCCCGGAAAGTATGTCTCTCTACAGGGTGCTCCATAGGTACGAGCACCACAACTATGCATAGGACTCCATTACCTTGTCGATTCAAACCACATACAGGGTGATTCACAAGTCGTGTATGTAACATTTTTAAAAATTAAAAAACAAATGAAAATCATTTTTTTAATATCTTCAAAACCGTCAACTGGAATGAACTAAAATTTAGTATGTGGATTTACATAAGCATCGCCAACATTCAAAAGTCTACTCAAAATGAACGTGCACCAGTGACGGAGATACAGGGGATTAGATGCATTATTTTTACAAATAAAAATAGTACGCCACTGCTTTCTTTTTTCAAAACACGCAATTTTTCAAATTCTACCTTGAATTTGCTACAACTTATTACTCTTGTGTTTTTTTCCTAGAATGCATTGTTTTCGTAAAAATAAAAAAAAGAAAATTCTATAATCAAAGCTTTGTTTCAATAAATATGTTCAAAAAGGCCACCCTGCTGACGGATACAAGAGTGACATGTTTTTAATAAAGAAAAACTTATTTCCACAAAATTTGTTGTGGATTGAATTTGATGAGACGTATTATCTATTCTTTCTTGTAACTGATCAACTGTATTAATTTGTTCAGCATACACTAGTTCTCTAAAAGCGCCCCCCAGAAAGAAATCCAGGGGGTTCAAATCAGGAGACCTCGTTGTCCGAAATTATTATTCAACCATGCGGTTCGGTCGCGACGAACATGCGGAGGGGTATCGTCGTGCTGTTACCACTTTCATACTCTCGTTGCTAACGGAACATCATCTAACACATTTTCTATGTAATTCTCTAGAAAAGCTAAGTATGAGCTTGCATTTAAGCATTGTGACAATGTAAACAGTTGGCCATTGATAATGGCGCACCAGACATTTTTAGAAAATCTGTGTCGAAATGAGTAGATTCTTACAGAACGGGGATTTTCCAGCGACCAAATATGTTCATTATGAGAATTGAAGGTTCAACTCCTCGTAAAAAGCGGTTCGTCTGACCACAAGACCAAATCAATACGTAAAACTTGCATTTTGATTATCATGCATTTGCGGTCACCCACCACCAAAAATTTCGTATCTTTCTAATGAAGCCCTAGAGGAAAATATGTTACATAGAAGACCTCCTTAAAATGCGGTCCTGTGTATCTTTAAGCTCCTGTTTATTGTACGACGTTTCGACCACCACGGTTGACTATTTCGAGTACAATGAGAATAATGACAGTAAATCTTCGAAAAAAAGTGGAATAGTGCATGTTTCTAGATAGTTCTTAGGTTGTAATCCTAACTCCAGTACTCAAGGCACACGATAGAAGGATAAAAAATCAGGTATACAGGGTATCCCACTTATAACTACAACAATCGGTTACCCAAAAAGTTGACGTAAGACAGTGATGGAATTTGGGTTTATAGTAAAACTGATGAAAGCAATACGGTTAGAATATTATCAAAATGATGGCACTTCCTGTTGTACCGGAAATAGATACCAACGTGCTCATCCGGAATAATATATTATTACCTTTTCAGATTACACACGAGATTGTGATTACGTTTCATGTATATCATCCTATAACTACGACTAGCCAATTTTGAGGTAGCTCAAATGTTGCCTAAAAAATAGCCCTGCGAATTATATAATTTTTTCTCATACGTATTGTTACCTTTGCCGTGTAATGGGTTCTCATTGTAGGGTAATTGCTTTATTAGATTTTATTCAAGATTTCAATAACAAAAATTACAGGGTGGTCAAGAAAAGAGAATGACGATTAGATTTTAGAAAACCCAAAAGTCGATTTTTTCATATAGAGACCACATTTTTATAATTTTGTCGCATCATATCAGGTTGTCTACTTCGTAAATTATTGGCCTTTGAGATAAGTGGAATTATTTCTATGCT